TGCCTATAAAACCCACAATAAACAAATTGATTACCGATATTTTACAACCTGGCAACCTTGGCTATTGTAGAATCGTTCGTTATAAAATTTAGAAAAACTATTTGTATTTATTTTTGTAAACTCACGCACGACCACTCTAAGGAAATAGGAGGTGGCTATAAATTGATCTTAATTAATGCTTATTGGTGTTCATAAAATCCTATATACCTACATAGTAATGTTATATAATATAAACATCTGTATTCTATACATATAATACTATTAAGTCACTGATTTTTAACAGACTTCAAAAAATGAGGAAGTTATTGTATACTAACGTTCGCCACTGCATCTGCAACTCAATATTTTGCTTGTAAATTGGTGTTAGTTGATGTTTGATAAACATAATCATAATAATTACATCAGTACTTTATTTACCAGTATTTCATACCTACATAATAATACAAAACAACAACATATCAGGCATGTTTGTGGATAAGTTACGTAAATGGTATTCTACCGCGTTTTTTGTTTAAATTCGTCATTTTAGTGACGCAAACGCCGTCTGCGGGGCAGTCTAATGGTTCCATTTTTATTTCTTACCTTGTCAGATTTAACTTGGTAATCTTAGCTAATATTAACTGCCTACTTCCTTCCTACAAAAACTTATTTTACAATTAGCATATACTAAACTAGCTATCCGCCCGCGGCTTCGCCCGCGTGGAATTTTGTCTGTCACAGAAAACCTTTATCGCGCGCGTCCCTGTTTCAAAAACCGGGATAAAAACTATCCTATGTTCTTTCCCGGGACTCAAACTATCTCTATGCCAAATTTCATCAAAATCGGTTGCGAGGTTTAAGCGGGAAAGCGTAACAGACAGACAGACAGACAGACAGAGTTACTTTCGCATTTATAATATTAGTTGGGATTTGTTAACATATTAAGTGCCTCCAAATTCGGTGTTTTGTTACTATGATTTGCAGCGAATAAACGTTACCTATAAATTTTTTTCGGACATTGTTTTTTTATGATGATTTAAAATTAAATATGTTGTTCTAACTTTTCAAAATTTTCTCAAATGAGACCTTTCTGAGGGCATAATTAGATACTAAAACTTGGTTAACTTTTTGATTTCCAAGGTATAAAAATATATCTGGAATCGATATGTATGTATGTAAGGGTATTCTTCATTTATTGTTTTCAATCCTTATTGAGTCTCTTAAATTAATATAATCTTCACCCTTATATTAATTATATATATCCTTTTAATATCATCTGTTATTCCATTATGGACCTCTTCCTTGCCTCTTCTTGACATGCTAACTAAACTGAACTACCTATACATTCTATAACCCAATGCTCGTTATCTCTGCCCTCCACCGGTTGTGTAAACTGCTGAGAGCTGGTAAATACTGGCGCAGGAGTCGGCGATTCATATTGGCATTGAGGCTGCGCCTACACCGACGAAAAATATAAAACTTGCCTATTGATGATGATGAATCATATAAGCACAGATTACCTAATAGTTAGGTATGAACTGCCTACTTCGAACCAAAACAAACCGCGCTTTTATACTGGACTATTATGGATACTTTCGATTGAAAAGCCATCACGTGTCCTTGCATTGAAAAATACGGCTTCGAAGTAATAGACATACAGTCTATTACTTCGAATAACGATAATAATGCAGAAATACGTTAGAAAACGACAAGGGCGGTGATTAGCCGACTGCCAAGGATGTAGGGCAGGTGCCCATCTATTATTCAGGCGCGAGTGAGGTCATCTTGCCCTAGGCCACGTCAGCTCTTCAGGTATCGATCAAAGTTACAGAAACAGACAGTTCCTTTGTTTTGAAGTTCTAACTTTATTTTTTAACTCGTATTTGTATGGTGACATTTTATTATGTAATCAATTTAATGTTAGTCTGGCGTTTCGGTCAATCGTAAAAAAATACAGGTCAAATGTCAGTTATGTCAGTATGTCTTAACACTAATTGATAAAATCTTGTGGTACTCTTTAATTGTTTATCTTGATTATGGATATATCAAAGAATACTAGTCACTATTGTGTGATAGGCTTGAATAATTGGTCTATTCACAAAAATTGGCTTAGTGCGAGTCGGACTCACGTTCAAAGGTTCTGTATTAATGTCCACTTTCCTTAGATCTATTCTTCCAATTTCCTCTCTTACATAATGTAATAATTACATGCTCTATGTTATTATTTCCTGAAATGAAAATTCACGTATTTTGAGATTCAAATACTTACTTACTTGAAATAATCAAAATAATTATTTATGCGTTGAAGGTTCTATTTTCTTTTGATGTTAGCACGGAACCCTTAGAACTTGAAACTTTATATTTATGAGCCATCTCAGCCATCGTGCAATTTATTTTAAGTGATTAAGTACGCTGAGATTTTGTTTACCCACGCACGAGTAAGCGCGTGTCGTGTCATTAATATTTACCAATTAATTAAATTGTTATTTATAAACTTTGCTGTTGATGCAATTTGTATGGAGGGCCTTGTAAAGTTTATTTAAGTGCAATTTAAAACAGTTCTTGAAGGACAAATTTTTAAACAATACGGTTTAATTAAACCTAGTTTTACGAAACTAGAAACAAATAGACAATGATCCACCTGGAATTGCTGAAATTGAACCCAAAATCTCAGTTGGGGTCGACAGTTTTATTCTTACCACTGGATCATGCTGTAGCTTTGTAGATGACCTTTTTGATGATGACGATTGGATTGAAAAGTGAACCAGGACTCTTGACTGAGGGATGAAAAATCATGATTATTGAAAAAGATTGGCAAAGTTACTAACTAATCTGAGGGTTGAATACGTGAAAATACACCAAAGAAATCCGACTAAAATGTGCACCTACATAAAATTCACCCTCTTCAGGGTCTATCAAAGGAACAACATAAAATCTTGCATGATATACCTAAGTACGGTTCTTCCGTCCATCACAAAGAAACAGAATTCAAATTTCGAATGTAAAGCCCTCTCGCAGTGATAATAATATTTGAATTCAACAGACCTCTGTTCTGGGAATGAGCCCGGTGTATTTTTGATGAAATTAGCAAGGCCATCGGATGCACTGTGAATTATTGAAACAAAGCGACGCGAGGACGATCGATCGCGCTATTTAGAGGCTGCATGTGTTCGCGGCCCGGGCCCGCGGACGGAGCCCCCGATCAACAGGCGCAGCGGAATAGGGTTGATATTCCAAAGTACTGGCCATTCTGAATTGCATTTTTTTGTATAATAGGTAGGTACACAGATTAGAGCAGAGCTCGAATACTTCTGTTTCTTTTTTTTTATGGCCAGGTCTCGAATATTTAAATTAATGTTTTAGGTATTCGGGAACCTGGGGATTCCAAATTCGAAAAATAATAAGTAGAAAGTGAGCGTGTTTTGTTTTTCTAAATTTTTGAAAGATGATTCATGGAGTGTTTATGCTGTTTGCTGATTGGGCTGTTGCATTTTGGAGCACAACTAAAGCCTAGGTACATATATTAAGTTTTGACGCCCACGTGTAAATTATCAGCATTTTAGTTCCGTTTCGTTTGGCGCTTCATCTTAATGACTAACGAGAGTAATTGCGTGAGCAATTAGTCTAACTCATGTACAACTTAGGCACAGATGGACAAAAGACTTGAGTCATTATAATTAGGTTAAATACCTACCTATTCTCTATCATTTTTACCTACCGGAGAAAATAGGTGCGGATTTCCGCCGATGTTGTACATTTATTAGTTTCCGTGCAAACTTGTTTACAGCGTTTATGTTGGAAATAAAATGAAAATACATTTCTCTTGAAGGAAACCTTCAATGATTTTCCTGCGCGTAGGTTTGCTAGGGCTGCAGTTGTGAAACTATATTGCTGTGATTTTTCTCATTCTTCATCTTATTTTAGATTTAGTTTGAAAAATGGAGGTGATTTTCTTTGAAATGGCAGCCCTATAGATGTAGCACGAGTCCAGGCCACGTGCAGGGAAATTTCCGACGCAAATGGACACGGGAATCACATTAAGCCGGGAGTACACATGGAATACGTTTAGATGGTCAGGGCGTAAACAAATCAGTTTCAATCCTTTGGTATTGCGTCTAGCAAAATCTTATCTATTTTTAGAGGCAACTTACTCTGTTGCTCAAATACAACTTTCCTCAAGGTACAAGAAAATTGGAAAATGAGTTCCTAATAGTCTATTTTCGACTGTTGTGTAGGTTTAATCCTCAAATATTCAACAAGGCACTGAAAGATCATTAAAAGCAATTTTTTGCTTTCGTAGAGCTTATAATGAGAGTCTATTTTCAACTCTTGCGTAGGTTGAAGGAAGGATCGTCATTTTCTATTAAATTATCTTTCTTTGTATAAAACTTTTCCGATAGCTTATTAATTACTTAGCAACATAAGGTAGTTTTGCAGTAAATAGATAAGTAATTTGTGTGTTGCATAATGAACTACGGGAATGCGAGAATCTGATCGACTTTATAAACTAAATTAAGCTGTATATTGGGTTACATCACGCGCGGCCTCCTGTGTATGTAGGTAGGTGCATCGACGCCATTTTGATGCATGAAAGCTCCATCAGATTTACCTGTTGCGTAATTGCGTTACGTGTACGGCGCTGAAGGGTGGAGGATGCGCGTATTTTATGATTGCACTTAAAACTTGTTAAACTCCCGGTTTCTGTATTGATATTTTAAGCTTGAATTTCAATTCATAAACCGGGAGTTAGGGTTAAAACTTGTTGAATTTTTATATTATAAGAGTTTTTTATCGTTTTTAAAAAAATTTGACGTCGCGTCGTATGGACATGAAAAATAAAAGCTTCGTAGCTTTTTATAGTCTACCTTGATAATTTTATTGATTGTGAGTTAGATTGAGTATCTCCATTTAGAATGTTTTAGGTATCTCGAATACATATACGCTTCTCGAATCTTTAATTGAACCTTCTTTAATGATTTTTATTATGAAGATTTTAACCTTGTTTTCTTTTTCCATTCCAGGATTAGTCAACTACATGAAATTCGACGCGAGCGGAAAATATCTGTTCGTGTGCGGCGACAAAGCAGTCAGGGTGTTCCACAATGTGTGCGGATACTTCACCACCATAGGCAGTTGCACTCGTCTGTTAGCCGCCAAGCAGACCTCGGCCACTGTGGAACGCCTCAACAAAACCATACAAGAATGCAAAGAAACCCTCGCGAAGTTCGGCAAATAACACCTAACAGTAAAACCAATCTCGTCAACTGCATTTATTTTACTATAGTCGAATATATTTTAAGAAAGTTTTACATGTTTACCAAAATATATTAATATTAATGTTTCAGTATTTTGGGTCACTAAATTACCAGTGAAGGTTCGATCTCTGTCCAAATTTTGTATTTTAGGATAAACAAAATAGTGATAGGTAAGTCGTTTCTAAGAAGGTATGCATCGCGAACACTGATTTGTATATTGTATGGAAATAACGAAATGTAAATTCTCCCGTGACGTTCGCATTTAGATGAGGTCACATGCATGTGTATCGAGACGCAAATAAATTTCCATGTTACCGCTCGCCGTACTAATTTAAAAGTCAATTATTTTCTTTGAAATAGCACAAGGAGATTATGACTTGGTGATTGATAATTCAGTGATACCTATACCTATTTGTTGAGTGTCTGGTTTATGTTTGATAATACACCGTTTATTCGATGTTATCGCTCGGCTGTTATGACGTGCTCCATATTGGCGACCTATTTCCAGTACGCATGATCCAGGGCACTACAATTTAGATATTACATTACTGATCGGAGCCTTGAAATCTGATTTCTGACCTCGTGATTCCTACATGAAATTTTATTATCTGAATTCAAAACATGACAATTATCTACTTTATTGCATGAAATTGGAGTTATGCATTCTTTTGTGATCTTTGTAATTACTATTGAATGAAGCAATAAAATTTTACATTTATAAAGATATTATGTATTTTGATTTCAAGTTCCTACATAATTTATAATTTGAAAGATATTCTTGTTAAGCTCTTATTTAAGTGCAATGGAAATCGTTGCTATAGTTTTTACAACCGTTCCTGCGCTGCCCGCATCCAGGTGCTTCACACGACCTTCATCGGAATGTCGGTTTACGAAGAGGGCAAGGCCTGCCATGGGCCTGCCTATGTAGATGTCCTACACTGAACCACAAAATTTTTCAACTTTGGAAAAATGCAAAAAATGACATTTTTTATTTTTTCATACGATAGAATTTTGAGACAAATGGGGGTCTACGGGGGGGCAAATTGACGTTATTTTTGCGCTAGAACGCACCGTTTTCGAGATACGTGCGATTTTAAGAAAAAATCTAAACTTGACGCTCGGCGCGGCAGGGTATTTTGAATGGAGTTGCGACTATAGATGACCCACGCTGAACTGTCCCACCAAACTCAATGACAGGGGGGCGCTACCATCGTTCAACTGTATGGTTTCCAACATGGCAAAAATCGGAACCAGCGATCCGGTATAGACGGTGGCGCCCCGCTGTCAATGTCATGCACAGCACAGTTCAGTATTTTATCAACAGTGATGGAACTTTTCTGCGTGCGTGTAGGTTTGTTTTGGTTTACGGACCTACTTCTTCATGAAGATTGTAGCATGAGAAAAAAGGCTATTGTGCTTAGTGACGCTCCTTGGTGGATGCTTACGCCCAGCAGTGGACTTTCATAGGCTAAAATGTTGATGATGATGTAGGAATAATATGAAAAGAAAAGACATAATTTTTAGTTTTAACTTTATTGTGTTCTGCACAAAAGTGACATTATCGACAATACACTGAGATACTCCGTGATAGTTAATTTAAGTACAGTTTCACAGCTTTTGATAAATACATTTTAATTCAACGTTAGGATTACATACATTTAACATAGTAATGTGAATCAATTCCATTAATTTTGTCAAAAAATAGTGTTGCCAAAATAGATTTGATTTACAATTAAAAAGAAACTGTCGTAGATAGTGAATTTTTTTAGATATACAATGCAAAAAATATTCAATATCTCTAATATGGTTTTGATAATCACTAATATTTTTGTACCAATCTGCTGTTATAACTGTTTTTTTAACAATGGTATATGAAATAATGAGTAAAAGTGTGTTGTATTACATAGAAAGCCGAATTGGTTACTTATGTGTATCGCTTAGAGTAAACGAATACACTAATTCAACATAATTTCAGCTAAAACATAAAATGGACAGGTACGATTATAAAAAATATTTAGGTTGAAGATAAAATATGATGTTATTAAATTTTATAACATATTACAACCGACTTCCCACTTGACTGCGCACTGTTTGTAAGTACCAGGATACATTATGCTTCGATTTGTGTAACACATAAATGCACATGACGGATAAAGGCAGTGGCGCGTGGGTTTGTGACGACAAGTGATATATTTCGAAGTGACAATGGTGTAATTTACTACAATGCTACGTAGCGAGCGTATAAATATTATACGTATATTCCGGGTCAGAAACTGTCAACTTTTCAAACAAACAAAGCTGATTAAGGCTCGATTTCCACTAAAGCGGACAGATTGGAACAATTAAATTGATTGGTTATTCATACACATCTCTATCTTCGCATTGTTGGAAATCGGGCCTTACATTGAAAGTGAATTGTCTAGGCATCTAATATTTGTGCAAACCTATCTTATGAAATTTGTTGCAAAGACAGTTAAATCTCGGATTCAGTCGATTTTGTGATAATATAATTTAAAGAAGTTACGCAACGCACGCTACGCAACAATGTATTAGACCTAAAACATGACAATAGGTGTAGATAATCCAGAGGAAGTTTGACAAGACTGTTGACTTTAGTCTTCGTTATTTGTAGATTTTATTTACATAAATGATTGTGGCATCAATGTAACGCATTGTAAGTAGCAGTTAGCGCATGCGCAAACATTCCATTCGCTACATAGTTTGTTGGGCTCAAAGGTCTCATAGAACGTTGTTTTTTCCTTGCAACGACTATTATAATACAACCACTTGAATCTACGAGTTTCTGTCGCCAATGCTTCAATATATCCAATCTTATATTTTACGTCATCACAAATCTACAAATAACGATAGACCTCACAAAATAAGTACTAAACATACATTTACAAATTTAATGAACATAGCAGTACCGGTTTTCCGTTTTCTTATTACAAATCTACTCTCGTCCAACTAATTAACCTTCGCCCTTTGGCGCTCTGCAGACTATTTTCCTTGTGTTCGTTCTAAGATTAAAGTTCAACAATTCAACATACAATAGTAGGTGGCTGGTAACCATTAAAACAGCCATAAAAAGAAATTGTTAATTACACTTATTATAACGTGAAGTTGCTAGATAAGCATGACACTATTCCAATTTTCGCAAACAGTTCTCAGGCTTGTAATCTGAGACTGCGCTCAAAACTTAAGTTTAACTCAAGCATTACTCATTTGCTACAAAGTCGTCACACTTTATGGATGTAGATCATTTTGGAATTTTATCAATTCATTAATGATACCTTTTTATCGTGTTCACGATCACTTAATTTCAATCGAATTGACAGCAGTGTGACGAATCTAATTTGGGACGAATCGACGATTGCTTGAACACACACACAAGATTGAAACTTGCTTGACTTTGAATTAACTTGAGCATGAGCACTGTCTCAAAATATCAGCCTAAAGCGAATCATTATACACTTTGGTGGGAGAATTATAAATTGTATCTCATAAGATACGCTCAAAACTTGAAGATTCTTAATACATTTGAGAACCAAGTCTGCATTTATTAACAACAAAACTACGCAACAAGAGAAAACTACGTTTGTCTTGTTTAATAAAAATATTTGTTTCTCTGTTAGTAGTAGTAGTTATAATTAAATATTAGAGTTGAAAGAACAATGAGTGCAACATTTCTGATATTATTATTTCTCAGACTAGAACTAAAACTACTTGAACACAGTTCATTTTAACAGTTATTTCAAATGTATTATGTTTACTTATTCTAAGTACGAGCTAAATTAAAAGCCTCATTTCATATTACGACAATAATAATAAAACAAGACAGTTTACGTTTTAGTTATTTCGTATAGACGCTGTTAACGTAACAATAAATTATGTTTGACAATGCATTGAGCAATCAGCAAATTAAAATATCAATTTATTTTCACTGCAATAAGTAAAATTACAGATGTGAGTTTTAATTAAATTAACCATATCACTCTCAGACTATTATCATGAGTAATTATTATAAAGAAAAATAAAACAGGTAGTAAAGATACATTATAATGAGATTCTATAATTTATTACGCCAATTTATTACTCTTGTATCGAATATTGCATAATATTGATTATGAGTATTGATAAGAAGGTTTTTGCTTCGATTCCACGTCATTATTATAACCCAAACACAGTAATAAAAATTTATAATCTATTCCATTATACAGGCTGTAAGGAAACAGACGGAAAAGTGTTTATGGACGTAAATCAATCTAAAAAGGACTATCATGAAACTTGAGAGGCCAAATTGTAATAATTTTCTGACTTATTCTATTTATCTTTATTATCAGATCCCTTTTGTATTTGGTGCAACTGCATCAGTAGATAGTTCTATCACTTCCGTCTGATGTAATTAATATGAGTATTGCATCATAGTCTTGATATTATTTTGTCAATTAGATAAAACCTCTACTCTTTTAATTGGGATATCCTATTATAATATTTTTTGAAATAGTTTATATTTTTCCTTATTTTTTATAACAAATAGCATAGTGAAAGCGTCATCTACGTGATATGGTGTTAAAGTTCCCATTGAGCAATAACGATGAAATATATCTAAACTGATATTTTAAAGAGGATAATAATATTAATAATAACTAATGTTTCCGGTACTTAGATTTTTTGTTGCACGTAACGTGTCACATTCAAGTTCTAACTAGAGCTACTGGGTTTAAATTATTTTAGGAGTCACTGGGAAATGTAAATAGGGGTTATTGTAAGTAATTATGTGTGATATCGAAAAAAAAACATCCAACACATTCTGAAAAACAACAATAAGGCAAAAATACGGTCATAAATTCAAAACTATTCTTCTTCTATTTTTCTATTCCAAACTGTGACAAACTGATGACAACAAGGTAGTCTATCTATACTTCTATGCCAAAATGTATCTAAATTGTTTCAGCATCATAGGCGGAGAAACATAATAGACAGACTGAGTTACTTACGCATTAAATATTAGCTTGGATAAGTACAATAATTATTATCATAAAATAAACGACAGACTTATTATTTAATTTGTTCATTAAACTATCGTTTGAGTTGATAACAGTGAATAAATATTCAACATTATTAGTTATGCCATTATTCATTAAACAGGTTAGAGTAACGTTACAGAGATTACGCGGTTATACAGGGTGGAAATTATTTTTATCCAAGACCATATTAAAATATTTAAAAAAAATCCCATTAAGTTGATATTTTAAAAGGCTTTAAACGTCCCAATACTATAATTATATTTAAATCATCTCTTCTGTGTCTGTAAAGTAGCGGATGAATTTCAAATACTGCCGATGAA